AACACCCACCCTTAATGAAATACTTAAACCACGTTATTATAATGGAGATGAAACGAAACCGTTAAGAGCTTTTGTAAAAGATTTAGCAACAATTTTTTATCATGCATCACAAGGAAATCAACTTCAATCCAAAGAAATTCTCTTAAAATTTAAACATACATTCTTAATTCGTAATCCAGAAAAATCGATTAAATCTTATTATAGAGCGGCGAACGCTACATATAAAGCTTGGGACGAAGCCGACGTATCTGAATCTAAAAGGCTTGACCTTTTTTCGGCCGATTCTATTGGAATCAAAGAATCAAGAGCTCTTTACGATTTAATTAAAAATTTAACCGAGGAAGAAATTGCCTTGGTAGATGCTGATGATTTAGTTCGAGAACCAGAGAAAGTTTTAAGAAAATATTGTGAGATGGTTGGAGTGGAATTTAAGAAAGAGATGCTCGCATGGAAAGCTGAAAAAATCAAACGTTGGGACGTAAAAATGGCAGATATGTATCATGTACCAGATTTATATAATATATGGCACAGGTATTAAAAAAAAAATTTTTTTTTTTCCTTCTTAATACTTATTATTATACATATTACTAAAATTCATAAAACAAATCAGGAATGCGTCGCAAAGTACTGGATTTAATTCAGTCAGTCATGTCAGTCATGAGAAGGAAATCGAGTATCCACGATATGTTTATGACATAATAGCCGAAAACGTACCTCATTATGAGTATTTACGTCAACATAAAATTAACGTTTAATTCGATTGTTTACATGCGGTTTAAATTTTTTAAGGAATTACTGTGTATTTTTTTGTGGTTTAAAACATAAGAGTTTTATATTAATATACATGATAATTTTATATTTTTTTTTTTATTTTTATATGGTGAAGTTTTTCTTAAGAAATTTTAGGTTTTTATTATAATATGTACTATTAATTCTCTATGCGAAATAAATATCAATATGAATAAATATAAGTAGTGAATAAAGGGAATTTTATCTTTTTAACAAATTTTCGGTATTACCAATTTTTGATTTAATAATTGTCAACATAAGACATTATTTAATAAATTTCTAACAATAAATCATTTCATAATATCTTTAAGGAAAATTAATGGAAATTTCTATTTATATTAAAAAAAAAAAAGTCTTTTTGTGTTTAGAAAAAAAAACCATTAGAAAAAAAAATGGTTAGAACGTAATTGGTACACAATCTCTTCTCTTTGCCGTTAATGACGTTTTTAATGATCAAGCTAGATATATTATTTTTATGAAAGAATTTAATGAATACTGGATTATTATCTCATTTTACGTATATTTAAAAAATAGATACATATTTTTACAAAATTTCATATAATAGACTAATGAAATAGATTGTTATTACTACTTAATACTTACCCATATATATCAATTATTTGAGACGTGACTAGAACATCTGATCGCAATAAATCTATCACCGTATATTATGTCATTGATTTCTTGGATTTGAATTCACAAATTCACAATTACTCTAAATTAACTGCGCAAATTAAAAGATTGCCCGGTTAGTTCAGTCGTTAGAATATCACATATTAATATTAAATAAAATAAAAAATATTAAATATTAAGTCGTGAAGACGCGGGTTCAACTCCTGCACTGGGCTTTCATTTTTTTTTGTATTAATAGACTTTTAATCAGTATTACATCATTACAATATAATGAATTTCTAGAATAATTAATTTTATGAAGCCAAACATAGATCATGTAAAATTATGTTAATTTAGAGTGTGTGAAGTGTTATCATGTATTTGATTGTAAAAGTTGCGTGGGATTACAAGGCGCAATTGCGTAGATAAAACGTTGTGTGTTACTATTATTGACTCTCGTGTAAATATTTTAAGAAATTATAGATATCATGGTTTATTACTGGAAATGTCTTTGAGGATTTAATTATTATAAAACTATATCATTGATATTTTTCTATTAATCTAGGTTATGATTCAAAATCTCCATCTAAGATTAATACTCAAAGTTATCATATGAATATTGTAAATTACTAAATTATATATAAATATAATTACATTTAAACTACAAGTACAAGCTATATTACAAGCTAAATTACAGTAAAATTTGATGTTGAAATGGTCAAATTTTTATGATGAAGAGAGGAAGAGTATCCGGATCATTTTCCAGATAAATTCAAGATCTAAATTATTGATATATTATTTTTAGAAAAAAGTTATGTTCTTGGTTTAATATAAAAATTTAATTTTTTGATATATCTTACTTAATACTATTGAAAAAAATTATTATTATACAAACTAAATTTAATATTATATTAACACAAATAAATGAAGAATTGTTCATATCATTATAGTTATTATTATTTTTGTTATATGTATTAGGGGATTATAATTTTTAATTGATATACTAGATAATTTTACTGGAGGTGTATATTCTTTTTTAACTTCATACCTAAATTGAGATAATCATATTAATTACTGTATATTATAATAAATCAGAAAATCTGAAAACCTTACCCAAGACTTCCCAATAAAAGTCTTAATTTAGGACCGATGGGACCAGTAGTATTAGTACTACCAACTGCAGACATTATTTGGCCAAGAGTTGCTGTTTTAGGATATGTAAATAGCATTAGAAAATCACTACTATTCACATAAGTATCAAAATCTGTATGTGCAACACTTGAACCATGTTGATAAGAAATTAAACTAGTTTCTAATATAATAACATTATTAAGGATTTGTTCTCGAGTTAATTGATCACTAGGTGGTATATAAGAGTATCTTACATTTTTTCAACCTTTGATTTATGAATTTTTTTAAGCCTTTGTTGCCACACTTCATGTGTTGGATTAGGTGATGCAAATATATTATATGTTGTATCATTTTCAAAATTATTGGGTGGAGTGGTAGGATAATAAATATGATTTGACCAAATTCCTCTTATATTACAATATCGACATCCTTGATAACTATTATGCCCTGTTAAACACATCAGCTTTGTTAATCCTGGAATATTACCTGTATAATGATAATGGATCCACATAGATTAAATTTAATAATATTTAATTAATGAAGGAATTATGTCTTAAAATTTAAAATTACAATATATATTACTATGTTATTATGTGATTATGTTATTATCATCAATTCATCAATTCAAAAATGGTGCATAATGAGATTCCGAGGTTAGCATAACAGATAAAATTAATTTAGACGAGTAATTAAGTTAAAATTATAAAATTCTAAATATAATTATACTTTCTAAATAAAAATATCGTGAATTTAATCTTAATTCAGGCCGGAGTTAATGATATTATAATTTCGGCCGGAGTTAATGAATTTTAAGTCGATCAATTTAATTAAACCAGCCTTGGAATAGGCTTTTGGTCATGCATGAATGAACGTGTGAGGTCAGAAAAAATTTTACCAATTTCTTGCATTAACCAAATCTAGTATTATACCAGCCCCACCAATATTTTTTTTATTTAAATTCATTCCGATTTCAGTTACGGCTGTTACACCTTGTAACGTTTGATTTAAAAAGAACCAGATTTTCCTGGCTTTTATTAAAATTCTTACGTTCTCTCACTCGTTTATAAAAAAATTATTTTTATTTTTATTTTTTTTGAAATGACCGATCAAAGGCCCATTATTCTTTGGGCTCATGCCAGATCACTTTCTACGGTTTTTGAACGTCCATTCCTTCAACTTCGTCAAGAATTTCATGTTATTCATGAACCTTTCGTTCCAATTGGTCTTGCTTATCAAGCCAATAACTTCGAATTTTTAGATAATATTCAACCACCTAAACCTACTGATCCGATTACTTTTGCGCATCATTTAACACCCACCCTTAATGAAATACTTAAACCACGTTATTATAATGGAGATGAAACGAAACCGTTAAGAGCTTTTGTAAAAGATTTAGCAATAACTTTTTATCATGCATCACAAGGAAATCAACTTCAATCCAAAGAAATTCTCTTAAAATTTAAACACACATTCTTAATTCGTAATCCAGAAAAATCGGTTAAATCTTATTATAGAGCAGCGAACGATACATATAAAGCTTGGGACGAAGCCGACGTACCTGATTCTAAAAGGATTGAAATTTTTTCGGCCGATCATATTGGAATCAAAGAATTAAGAGCAATTTACGATTTAATTAAAAATGTAACCGAGGAAGAAATTGCCTTGGTAGATGCTGATGATTTAGTTCGAGAACCAGAGAAAGTTTTAAGAAAATATTGTGAGATGGTTGGAGTGGAATTTAAGAAAGAGATGCTCGCATGGAAAGCTGAAAAAATCAAACGTTGGGACTTAAAATTGACAGATATGCATCATGAACCAGATTTATATAATATATGGCACAGGTATTAAAAAAAAAATTTTTTTTTTCTTCTTAATACTTATTATTATACATACTGTATTACTAAAATTCATAAAACAAATCAGGAATGCGTCGCAAAGTACTGGATTTAATTCAGTCAGTCATGAGAAGGAAATCGAGTATCCACAATATGTTTATGACATAATAGCCGAAAACGTACCTCATTATGAGTATTTACGCCAACATAAAATTAACGTTTGATTCGATTGTTTACATGCGGTTTAAATTTTTTAAGGAATTACTGTGTACTTTTTTTGTGGTTTAAAACATAAGAGTTTTATATTAATATACATGATAATTTTATATTTTTTTTTTTTTATTTTTATATGGTTAAGTTTTTCTTAAGAAATTTTAGGTTTTTTATTATATGTATTAATTCTCTATGCGAAATAAATATCAATATGATTAAGTAGTAAATAAAGGGAATTTTATCTTAACAAATTCAGTTTTCGGTATTACCAATTTTTGATTTAATAATTGTCAACGTAAGACATTACTTAATAAATTTCTAACAATAAATCATTTCATAATATCTTTAAGGAAAATTAATGGAAAATTCTATTTATATTAAAAAAAAAAGTCTTGGAAAAAAAACCATTAGAACAAAATGGTTAGAACGTAATTAGTACACAATCTCTTCTCTTTGTCGTCGGTTAATGACGTTTTTAATGATCAAAGTGGTTTTATTAGATATATTATTTTTATGAAAAAATTAATAAATACTGGATTATTATAATAAATTATCTCATTTTACGTAGATTTAAAAAATAGATACATATTTTTGACAAAATTTCATATAATAGACTAATGAAATAGATTGTTATTACGACTATTATTTGATCACTTTTAAATAATATAATACTTACCTACATATATCAATTATTTGAGACGTGACTAGAACATCTGATCGCAATAAATCTAATAAATCTATCACCGTATATTATGTCATTGATTTCTTGGATTTGAATTCACAAATTCACAATTACTCTAAAATTAACTGCGCAAATTTAAAGATTGCCCGGTTAGTTCAGTCGTTAGAATATCACATATTAATATTAAATATAAAATAAAAAATATTAAATATTAAGTCGTGAAGACGCGGGTTCAACTCCTGCACTGGGCTTTCTATTTTTTTTTGTATTAATAGACTTTTAATCAGTATTACATCATTACAATATAATGAATTTCTAGAATAAATTATTTTATGATTAGCGTAAATCCGTAAATCCAAACATAGATCATGTAAAATTATATTAATTTAGAGTGTGTAAAGGTTGCGTGGGATTACAAGGCGCAATCGCGTAGATAAAACGTTGTGGGTGTTACTATTATGACTCTCATGTAAATATTTTTAACAAGAAATTAGATAGATATCATGGTTTATTACTGGAAATGTCGAATATTTGAGGATTTAATTATAAAACTATATCATTGATATTTTTCTATTAATCTAGGTTATGATTCAAAATCTCCACCTAAGATTAATACTCAAGTTATCATAAGAATATTGTAAATTACTAAATAATATATAAATATAATTACATTTTAAACTACAAGTATAAGCTATATTACAAGCTAAATTACAGTAAAATTTGATGTTGAAATGGTCGAATTTTTATGATGAAGTGAGGAAGATTATCCGGATCATTTTCCAGATAAATTCAAAGATCTAAATTATTGTATATAAAAAAAGTTATGTTCTTAGTTTAATATAAAAATTTTAATTTTTTAATTTTTTGATATCTTACTTAATGCTATTAAAAAAAATTATTATTATACAAACTAAATTTAATATTATATTAACACAAATAAATGAAGAATTGTTCATATCATTATAGTTGTTATTATTTTTGTTATATGTATTGGAGGGATTATAATTTTTAATTGGTATGCTAGATAATTTTACTGGAGGTGTATATTCTTTTTTAACTTCATACCTAAATTGAGATTATTATGTCAATTACTATATTAATTACTGTATATTATAATAAATCTGAAAACCTTACCCAAGACTTCCCAATAAAAGTCTTAATTTAGGACCGATGGGACCAGTAGTATTAGTACTACCAACTGCAGACATTATTTGGCCAAGAGTTGCTGTTTTAGGGTATGTAAATAGCATTAGAAAATCACTACTATTCACATAAGTATCAAAATCTGTATGTGCAACACTTGAACCATGTTGATAAGGAATTAAACTAGTTTCTAATATAATAACATTATTAAGGATTTGTTCTCGAGTTAATTGATCACTAGGTGGTATAGTTAGAAAACCCATTGCACCATGTGTCATAGCAGTATTATACATATTTTTAGCAATTGGAAATTGTGGTGAAACACTAAATTCACTAGCTATTCCATCTGTAGATGATAATGTTTCTATTTTAAATTGAAATTTATTGATTTCATCAGCAATAGATGAAACTAATTTTCCACTTGGTAATAAAACTAAAAATTTATCAGATATTAATTCAAAGAATTGAGATGATTGTAATTCATCACTTTGAGATGTAATTTCTCCTGGTGTAGGTGGTTTAGTAGTACCTCCAATAGCAGGTGTTAATGCTTTTATACCAAAATAATCATCCCACGAAGTTGTAAATCCTAAACCATGAATCATTTCATGAATTACTACATATAACATATCTGATTGTTTTTCTAACATAGGTAATGGATCCCCTTCAAACCAATAACTTGTATTTGAATTAAAAGTTGCCATAATTTCATTTGGTCCAAATTCTGGATGTTCAATCGGAAAATTCATTTGTTTATATAAAGCTTGTGGATAAAATCTTATTTTATTTTCTTTAGGATCTTGATATGGAATCATTCTAGCTGGTCCTGCTGCTCCTAATATTATTACATCCTTATCACATTTTCCATATGTTTTACAAAAATCTAAAAATTGTGCATTAACACTTATAATTGATTTTAAATTTAATGTTGCCGTTATAAATTTTCCTGCAGTAATAAATACTTGTTCTACTTTTTTACATAATTGTTTATCATCTATTAAACATTGAAAATCTACGGTAATCATATTATCTGATTTTGATGATGTTTGTCGTTTATCTTTAGAATCTTTAGAATGTATCATTGGACAATCAATCATCTTAGTTTTTTGATAAAATGGACTTATATATTCTAAACATTTTTCTGATACCGTTATTTGTACTAAACATATTAATTCTAGAACAACAACGAACAAAGTTGTTGATAGAATCTTCATTTCCTAAAAAAAAAAATTTATAAAAAAATTTTAAAAAAAATTGTAAATTGATATAAATAATAACAAACAATAAACAATTATGCTTTAAATTTTAAAGAAAAAAATCTAAATTACCGTACTCTTATTTATTTAGAAAAAAAAAAATGAAACTCGTTTTAAGAGTTATATATATATATATATACACTATATAATTATCATACAACTCTAATATTAGACAGGTTACACTAACTAAATTTAGAAATTATTAAAAAAAAAAAAAATGTATAACACAACAGAAAAAATTTTCCTAATATACTCTTCTCATTTATATTATCTATATAAAAGATGATAATGATTCTTTAATTATTTCTAAATATTTATTAATGCTAACTCTTATTCAGATAAAATTTATCTATTAAGAGTTAATTCCTTTTTTCATAAATCAATAATTTTTCGATATATACAGTATATATATATGTATGTATGTATATATAATGCTATGAGGTACTGTATCCAGTTTGACTCGTAAAAACGTTGGTTTCAAAATGTCAACACGCGATTCATAAAATGCTAATTATTTTATTTCCTTAAAAAGATAATCATATGATATTGTTCGTATAATAAATTTTTTATTGATGTATGTATTAAGTATCAAACAACTTTTATTAATGTTAAACAAAACCCACATCCTAAAATTCATACGGGTAAGAAATTTTTTTTTCAATAACCAATTATAACTTTTTAAATTTAGTAAAATTCATATGATTTACTATTTTTGGATTTTGGGCTGCAAAAATGAATTTTATAAATTTGGTTAGTACAATTCTAATGAGTAAGTCAAATGAACTATTTATAATAGATTTTAATAGAAATCCAAATCGAGATTTTAAGGTTTTAAATTTTTCCAAATTATGTAAGGTTACATGCCCAAATTTGAAACCTCATTTCGTTAAGATTGACAAAGCTCGTACCATATTACTTACGTAGTCACAATAATTTACGATCTTCCATGTTTACTAATGAATATCAATGACGAGAAAATTAGCGAATTGGCAGAGTTGTAAATATTATTGGATGAAAAGAAATAGAGAAACAAAAATTTCTTGGCATATGAAAATTTATTATATTTTTGTTATTTAAATAATAAAAAATAATTCAATTGGGACTTTCCTTTTAAACTACGATTAAGATCGAAAAAAAAAATCGAAAATTACTACTGTACCAGTTTATCTAAACGTTAGATTTCGTCATTTAACTGATCGAGATAGATTAAGCCTCGATAGTAAAAAAAAATGTGGCTACAGTAAAATAATTGTTAATATATTCGTTTATATTGTTTGTACAGAATATGATTTACGATCATAATACTTATTCATTGTTTGTACAGAATATGACTACGATCAAAATATTTATTCATTGATTTAACCGAGAGAATTTATTAACATATGTACTTGATCAACTAATATGGTCACAGTCGTCTATTTTATAAAACCGACCAGATGAATACCATGAATCAAACTTTCAGCATAAAAACACTAACCATAAACCCGCGATAATTCAAATATTGACTCCTCCACATTGTTTCACATATATCTTTCGGATCCTAGATTAATTTGAAGTTCTTAGAGTCGTCTATATATTCTCCTAGCATTCTTCTTCTTCTTCTTCTTCTTCTTCTTCTTCGCTATATTCGGATGAATATCTATCTTCGTAATAATAAGAACCATAGTCGGAAGCAGTACAGTCTAATAACAAATCTTCACCTTCAGTGTCTTCCCACGAAAAGCTCGTGAATTCATCAACTCCGATAAGACTTTTCAAAACTCCTCTTTCATTAAATGGAGTACACACCCTCCCATAATCAAACGCAAATATTCCCTCATCAATTACATGAATTTGTAAAGAATCATTATCACTCCAACTATTCATAAATGCTACAAAGGAACTCTGCGAAAAATGAAAATGATCATTAAACTTGAATTTGCAGAGTTTTCGTGCTAACCGTCTTTTAAACAACATCAATAATTCATCCCCGATTTTAACATCTATAAAAGTGTTAACAATAATACCTCTTAATGACGAACATGATGATAATATTTGTTCTAAATATCTGATATCATCATCATTAGTTAACCATACAGATAAGAACTTAAGTTTTGGACAACACTTTGCGACATTTTGTAATAAACTTGGTTTCACATGTTCTTTCTTAAATTTTCCTTGCAAAAATAAACTATGAAGTTGTCCTCCAGATCTTGCAACAAAATTTTCCGCTATTTTAAATTCTGTTATGGGATGATACGCATACGTTGAACGTATATAAAGAGTACGTAAATTTGGAAATTTAGCATCAGCTGATGAATTCGTTAACGATCTATTTAAATTCGTTGGATGCTTATCATAAAAACCTTTTCCAATCAGTTTCAAAGTTTCTAACAAACTACATGAATATAATGACGTTACAGAGATCGGGAGATGAGGAGACGTCACAACAAAATGTTTTAACGAAGGTGCAAGGCTTTCCAACTCTTTGTTTATCGTCATTCCATTTCCATTGCATGCCCCTCCAGATTCCAGATGAAAATAGGCTAATCTTGTTTGAGCTTTAATTAATTTTGCTATTCCAGTTTCATCTACGTCGAAATTCTTGGCGTAAATTTGTTGAATATTCTTGCTAATATTTGCCAAATCAATTAAGAATAATCGTGGTAATCTTTTTGCATCACAAAAAAATTTATTAAGTTTCGAAAAACTTGTGTTAGCTCCTGGGAAACTAAGTATAGGATATTCAAGTGTTGTTGGAAATTCAATTCTCAAATATTTAATAGCAGGTGAACGCGAAATTATCAACAAATATAATTCTTTTTCTACAAGTTGTCTTTTAATATTATCTCTATCTTTTGAACAAAACTTTTTGGTTATACTAACATTAAAATAATGTGTATTCATCATACGAATATAACTCGCATAATCAAATTTTGGATAATGAATTTGAAAATTAAGCCCAAGATCTAAAAATAAATTCTTGGATTCCTCCGATAAACATCCACAAAGTACGTAAAGAAAATTGTATGCTTTAATTTTTTGTCGTAATCTTGCAATTTCCCATGGATCTCTCCATAATATTGGAATTATCACACGACACCAGAGTTTATTAACTAATAAACCAGAGAAAAGTGTATTTGCATCACCCGTTAGATTATCGAATATTTCAATCATAACATCTTCAGGTAACAGCGGAGCCATTATTTTATCACAAAACTGATGTACAATGTACAAAATGTTTTTTATTATTAGAAAAATTTCCGGAACCTTTTATATTTTATTTATCTGTAATGATTGTAGATCCGGTAGATCAACATATGAGCCACATCACGTACGCGTTATGATTACACAATTACTGGTACACAACTGTTTTTATATAAAAAATGCTACTACGAAAAAAATTTTTTGTTCAAAATTTTGCGTGGAACTTAATTGGTAGTCTTAATTGAATATTTAAATGAAAGGAAATGAAATAATTATGTTGATAAATGTTTGAACAAGGTTTAATTCATTTTTTTTTTCGTTTTTCAAGTAATTATTTATTTGGAGTTATTCAAGTAAAAAAAAAATTTTATTTTAGAATAATTCGACTTCTGTTTCTGCTAATACGTTAATGTACTTATGAGGTGGTTGTAATAAGAGTGTGTGTTTAATTATTAACGTATATCAACGATAAAATTTATTTTTCAGGAAATTTAGCAAAGGTAACTTATATATTTTTTTTCTAATTTTTGATTAAAAAGAAAATAATCTAATAATCATTAATAATAATTAGTAAATCTAATTCTCAGGCGATAGCACGGCATATTCCAGACTGTCCAGATGCCTTTGGGGTGAATATAAGATCCATGTTCTTACGGAATCAATAATCGGTTGTAAAAAAATTGGACATTTCTATTTTGGTAAGAGAATATTAAAATTTTGCGTCGTAAAATTATTAAATATTATGTTGAATCAAAAAAAAAAAATCTTTTTAAATGATATTAAATTTTTTTTTTTAATTAATTTAATTTAGATCCTCGATTATATATTTACAATCTGGAAGCTTAAACTTGTGGTATTGGGTCCAAATATTACCTAATCAGTCATGAAGAAATGATTTTAGAACTTATCTATACAATTTTAGAGACGATTTAGAATTGTAAGATATATTTTTAAATTAAAAGAATGTTATGCTTCGTTCCAATTATTTTAAATTGATTCGATTATTGATCTATTTTTGAAAATTTAAAATTTGCATTTTTTTTATTAGGTTGAGAAATCTAGGAATATGTAAGATCGAGGTAGTTTGATATATTTTTGTTTCAAAATCTTTCTATGTTGGGTTGTATTTTTTGTTAAAGTGGGATATATAGATTAAACAACGACGCTTTTATTCTATTTTTAACATAGAATGTATCAATTTTTTTCTCCATTATAAATAAAAAAAAAATTGATTGTATATTAGTATTTTTTTAATCTGGCAAATTTAATAATTTAATATAATGTTAAAATTTTTTATGTGAAAAAATTCTGTTATCCACTTGTCATGTGACTTTTTTTTATCACTATATAATATATAATGACGTGATCACCCTTATCCTGATCCAAACAACACTTTGTTCTTTGAGGAAAAAAAAAGGAAATAAAAAAAAAAATTAAATAAAATAATTCAACCAAAATATGGCACCACTTTTCGCGAATTCTTTATTTCAGGATCTTACTCAATTATTCACTGAAGCTGATGATTATAATGTAAAAATTGAAGTTGGTGAAGGAAGTGAAAAAGAAATTTTCAAAGCTCATTCTGTAATTTTGAGAGCTCGTTCACCTTATTTTAAAGCTGCTTTATCTTCTACTTGGGTGAGAAAAGTTGATGATATGATCATCTTTAGTAAACCTAACATTTCTCCTAAAGTTTTCAAGAAAATTTTAAAGTAAGCTTATTAATAACGAATTTTTTTCTTTTTCTATTTTTAATATAATTTTAAAAGTAATTTTTATTCTTAAAAAAGATATATTTATACGGGCGAATTTTCTTTGATGGAAGATGATATTCAGGATATGGATGAAGATGAACTCCTGACGGAAGAAGATAATTCCCTGATAGAGGATGACGTCCAAGATATATTACTTGACTTGTTGCTTGCGGCCGATGAACTTGCTTTGGTGGAATTAGTAAAGTATATGGAAGAATATATTATTACTTATGAAAGAGATTGGGTTCAAGAAAATCTTGCTAGTATATTTGCGACTGCATCAAAGTACGAAAGTTTTACTAGACTTTGGAAACATTTTTGTGGAGAGATGTTAGCACAACAACCAAACACACTTTTTAATTCATCATATTTTCTTTCATTAGAAAAGCCAACTTTACTTGAATTTATTGAGCGTGATGATTTGAATATTGAAGAGGTTGAAATTTGGGAGAATTTAATTAAATGGGCTCGTGAACAAACGCCAAAAATTGTTCATAATATTAATCAAATTACTCAAAATGATTTTAAGGAATTAGGAAATCGATTAGATGACTTTATTCCATTAATTAGATTTTTTAATATTTCGAAAGAAGACTATCTTTCTAAAGTTCGACCTTATGAAGGAATCCTTCCTGATGATTTAAAAAATGAATTAAAAAATTTTTTTGAATCAGATAGTGGTTCCCCTCCAGAAGATCATCTTCCTCCAAGAGTTCCAGTTTCTCAAACTGTGCCAGATTCCGTTATCGTCAGTAATAAGCAATTGACACTTATAGAAAGTTGGATTGTTTCGTCGGCTAATGATGATACTAGATTTAATCTTTTAAATGAAGGCTGTGATTTTTATTTATTACTTCGAGGAAGTCGTGATGGAATGGGGCTTAAACCATTTCATAGTCTTTGTCTTTATAAGGGACCCACGTTAGTCGTAATTAAAATCAAAGGTACTAATCAAGTAATAGGTGGTTATAATCCTGATTCATGGTCTAAAATTGGAGGTTCTAAAGCCAAGGATAGTTTTATTTTTTCTTTGGGAAAGGATAAAAGTTTTAATAATATTATTCTTAGTAGAATTGAATATAATAAAGTTGCAGTTAGTAATTCTGGATTTGAAGATTTAAGATGGTTTGAAGGAAAATATCATAAAAGTAATTTTGAAAGGCAGATTATGGAAAATTCTGATGAGGAATTTATTATTGAAGATTATGAAGTTTTTAGGGTCGTTAGATGTTGTGAATGATCACATTAATTATTTTCGATTAGATTCTTCAAAAAAATATAGATTAATTATAATATCTGCATATTTTTTATTATTAATTAGGATTGAAATTTGCATTTACATAAAATTTTTTTTATAATTAGATATTTCCAATAACGTAAGGAATCAAATGATCTTGTTGTACTAGCTGATAGTGTTTCTAATGCGAACAGATATTTCCAAATAACGTAAGGAATCAAATGATCTTGTTGCACTAGCTGATAGTGTTTCTAATAACGTAAAGAATCAATGATCTTGTTGCACTAGCTGATAGTGTTTCTAATGCGAACATAATAATACACATTAATGTCAAAGAAATTAAAAATTTTTTAAATTGAGAAATTGATATAATTAATTCAGTTATTGCTTCATTATTATTAAAAAAAAAAAAATTGAAATAATTTCAATCAATAAAATTTGAATTAAACGAATTGAACGAATAACCGTAAAAATTTTAATTTGAATATATATATAAATAAATATTTTTATTATTATATTAGAAAAGATCCATGATTTTAATATTTAAAGTAGAATTAATAAAAGAACACAAAATCATTTTTATTCTATTATGATAAAAATAAAAGATCTAGAATATGAACGTGATTTATGTTGATTAAAAAAACTAATACATTACTTCGAATATCATGATTTAACGCTTGAAGAAAATGATGATGAAAATGTTATATTTTAATTTGCTTTTTAATTATATAGAATTACATCACTTTTTAAAAATTTGGAACGAATTATATAGAAAATGAGGAATTCGATCAAATTCATTATTTTGGACGAGAGTACATTATTTTAAAGGGGTAAAAAAATCTTGATCTTATGAAAAATGCCTACAATATTATAAAAGAACAATAGAATTAAATTAATTAAATTCTAAAAAAAAAACACTACTCGTAAATATTTTCAAAATAACTGGAGTGATGATATTATTGAAATTATTGATTTATTTGAATAGAAGTTGATTCAATAATAATGGGAAAAAAAAAATGAAATAAAAAATCTCGTTATTATTTTAAATTCATTCCTACAAAGTTTTTCTTTTAGTGCTTTACCTCTTAAATACCATTCTCCTATACCTTCAAATACAAAAAAAGCTTTGTGATCGCTAAATGCAAAAGAGAATTATCGCCCCAAAATCTGCATATTAAGCAATAATATATGTAATATATGCAGAGATTGACCTAGAAAATAAACCTTTTTACTCGAGTACTCGAAGTCAACTTTTATGATAAATAATAATAAATCCCATCATGTTATTTATATTAAATACTATTGCTTTCAAGATCAATAAACCTTCCGGCAATATCTTGAAGACAATCTTGTTGTGTTGTGTTCACACGACCAAACCTCGTTGTGACCCTATCAAAGCTTCGATTTGACAATAACGACACTATTAATACGCTTTCCCACACGTTTACTGTAATACTATTGAATTTATTTAGGTTGATCGGAACAAGTTGATCGGTACAAAAGATTAAGTTGGTGAAATATAATCAAAGAATTTCAAACCCACTTGATCGAGACAATATAATCCAATTATTAACCTTTGGGTATACTGTAGCTCCCGATACAATACATCTTCAAGTTGAAATCTTCAAGTTGTCAACAACTAAATATTCTTGGTGCTTTTCACTCCCATTCGATAAAATTTGTGATGCTGCTAATACTTAACTAAATATTCTTGGTGCTTTTTACTCTCATCCGCTAAAATTTGTGATGCTGCTAATACTCATCGACACTGTTATTTGGAGTTTAAACATGAGAAATAATGCAAGTCCTCGGTTCAGTAAAATGAAGGCTTAGAAAAAGGACCAACTGTATCTGGCTTCAATAAGATATCCTAAGGTCCGTTGTTGCCTTCTTCACTACTTCACGCAAAAATGATCTAAAACAATAATAGTATATCACCCAATATACCAACCACATAAACACACTGATTGTTCTTGCAGATTTGTGAAAAAAATATAAAATTCCCTCATGTCCGTGATAAAATGAGCTGCGATCTACATTAATAAACGTACCATTTGCTTCAAGTCGTTCTCTATTAAAGTAGATTTTTTCTCGAATATTCAGCAAAAATCCGTTTTTTTGAATATCCTACTCATCAATCATCAACGATAGCGCTTTAGAAATGATTTTCTAGTTTTTAAATTCTAATATATTACAACATTATCAATATTACAATTTAGAGCGATAATTGCGATTATTTTAACAATTGGTACGTTTAAGGTTTAAATTTTTAAACAAAGAAGCGATGATCATCGAGTTTATAGCAAAATATGTTTTTCCACGAGATTTCCATGGAATTGGTAGATTTGCGTATTCACATGTCAGTCAACCATAGTAAATTAATTTGAGAACCACTTCTATATAACGTGATTACGATATGCGCTTGTGATTTGGATCAAAGCTAATTTTTTCTCCAAGTTTTTACGATAACAGTATATCTTATACGAAACAAATATGACTATGGAAATATATTATCCTTTCGAAATGTATCACAATTGATTTTTAATGGATTGAATGCACCTAATTAAATGGGTATTGTATCGAATGTATCGCTTATCTTTCTGTATTTTTTTTTTATATAACACTTTTTAATAGTTCTCGAAATTTCCGATAATATATGAAGAAATCAGCTTAATTTCTTTTAAATTTTTGATTGAGAAAAATGAATGTCGAGAATTTAGAATTTAGACAAAGAAAGAATTTATTGAGTTAGAAGATACTAAATAAATTAAAGGATCTAGTATACTATTTGATCAAATTTCAAGAAATTGATTGGCCTAAAAAATTTAAAAATTACAATTTTTCTTTTTTACGTCTATTGATTATTCAGTATTATTTGTAACGATGAATTTTGTTTTAAATATTCGTTCAAATTATTGTTTTGACCGAACAAGAATTTTCATTAGAAACCTAGCACCAAAAATTATTCGTATATTATAAGATAGTGATTAATTATTACTACCCTATGAAAAGTCTTTATACTTAAAATATACTTGAATTAAATTTTAAGTACATTTTAAAAATATTTTAAACATGTAAAAAATATAATTCAAGTACTTGGGCAAAATAAGTACATTAAAAGTATATTTCAAAGAGTATTTTAGGCATATCGCGAATTAAAATTGAGCATTGAAGATTTTTAAATCAGAAAAGGAAAAGGAATACTGTATATTATGATTGTAATGAGGTAATCATCGCTAGAGAAAACTAGAAAACAAGAAAACTAATGAACAGCTCATTAACTTTGATTCATATGACTCATCGGATGATTTAAACCGAAGTGGTATGATTGTATCGCACTATTACGACTTTTGACTGACATTATTATAGTAGCTAAAAAAAACATTATCAAAACTGTATCTTTGATAAAAATGTTCATTGTTTTATGCATTATGTAACGAGGTATGTATATTTTAGCCATATGGGTTAATCCGATTGATCGTAGCGTAACACGTAATTTATAATTTATAATGAAGAACACAAATATACTTTTTCCGGGTAAAACCCGAACTCGGTAAAACAATTTATAAACTCTCTAACTATTTTTATCACGGATGTAGGGTTTAGTTTGTGGGATGACTGCTTCGTAACTTTTCGTAACCTTTACCAATTAACCAGATATCATAGTAATAATAAAGTATAATGAATATCTTTAATTTTTTCTAGCCAATAATAGGATTTTTGCTTCTAAATCTATCGAGAGAATAAATGTATGATCGACGATTGAGAATTAATTTAAAAATGTGGGATGGGGCGAATAAATCGGTCGTAAATAAAAGAAAAAAAAAAATGTCTTTATATCACGAATCTTCTGAAAAACTTAATAAAAAATCATTATTAATCCCATCAGAAATTCTACAGAAAATCTCTTCACATTTTAAAGATGATATATTTACATTATTTTCGTGTATATTAGTATCAAGAAATTGGTGTACAAGTTTAATAGAAATATTATGGAGTCAACCATTTCATCTTTCTCATTCACCTCGTATAGTAGAAATATATTTATCTTTTCTTCCTGAAAATTTACGTGATCAACTAAAAATAAATTTTCATTCATTTAAGAAAGGATATAAATGTTTATTCGATTATCCTTCTTTTTTAAAAAAATTATCAATCCCATTATTATGTAATGCGATTGGTGAATATCTTCGAGAAGAATTAAATATAAAAACACTTCCTTTCTCAACAATTAATTATTATACTGATAATATTATTGAACAAATAATGTATACAGATTTATTAAAATTATTTTCTAAACAAAAACATATTCAAATTACATATAATTTTAAATTATTTTATAACAAAAATATTATTATCTTAAGAGAATTATGTAAATTAATTTATAATAAAATTAATGTAATAAATGAATTGGATTTTCATATAGGTATAAATTTTTCTGAGGAGGGTTTGAAGTTACAATTGGCTGTTGAAGAATTGGTGAAATTACAGGATCATTTTAGAGGATTAAAAGTTTTAACATATTCTGGAGATAATGAAGTACTTTGTTTCTTAGTTAAACATTGTAAAAGAATTGAATCATTGAAATTATATCAAGTTAGTTATGGAAAAAATGTTTTAAATAATGATGATCTTTCGATCCAATTAATATCCTCGCAGAAAAATTTACGAAATTTGGAAATTCATGATTGGAAAATCTCCCCTTCCTCAAATATTACTTCTATTACTTCTCCTCCAAGTATAACAAATATAACAACTCTTTTACAATCTATCCAATCACAAGCTAATTCCTTGAGAAGCATTAAACTTATTAATTGTAATTTTAATAAATGTAAACCATTATGGGCTTTATCAAATTGTTTAAATTTAGAGGAAATAATTATTAGAGAAAATCATAATTTTAATGAAAAATTACTCATACCTTTAACGAAGGTTAAGTTTTATAATTTAAGAAAATTTATTTATAAATTTCAATTAATCAACTTTGTCGATGATCACGATGATGATGATGAATTTATCGAGGACGAATTTATTGATTTGAATGAAATATTTTCTCGTATTATATTTAATTCTAAAGATAGCTTAAGAATTATTTCTATTAATGGTTTCAAAACTCTTCAATCATTAAGAAATACTTTGAATTCAATCGTAGAATGTAAAAATCTAATCAAATTAGATATTATGCTTGAAAAATCAGAAAACACACTTCCATTATTATTATCTATCATTAAACATAATCAATCACTTGAAAAATTATATATCGTTTCGGACACGCGTAATTTAGCCAATCAAGGAAATAATAATAATTTATTTATTGATGTGAATCAATTTTTACATTTATTCGTAAATTTACTTCCACAAAATTTTAAATTATTAAAAATGTATACACCTGATTGGTGTTTTACTACAGATACTTTAAATCAATTTTTAGAAAAGACAAAATTTAGAATTAAATCAATGTGTTGGGTGAATTATGAATGCGATTTGGATTGTGGTGAAGTTTTAAGAAAATATGCTAAATTAAACGGTTATAAATTATTATTCGGTGAGGATTGTAGATTTATTAATAATAGTATAATTAAGATGAATGTATTTTTTGAAAAATTTATAACTAGTTAAAACTAATAAGTACATTTTAAAGTTCGTTTAATAATAATTAATTATAGTCAATAATATACAAACAAATGATAATACTAAATTAAAACTAATAATTGAAGAATCGCTACTAGTATTAATGGCTGGAGGACTATAATCTTTTTTAACGTCATATCTAATTAAATTAAAATTTTATTAATAAAAATTTAATAATTAATTAAAAATTTTAAATAATAAAATGAAACTTACCCTAAAATTCCCAAAAGTAATCTCAATTTAAGTCCCATGGGACCAGTTGTCTTAGTACTACCAGATAAAGACATCATATCATTAAGAGTTCTTCCGGGTGGATATGTGAACATCATCAAGAAATCGCTAGTATTTTTATAAGTTTGAAAATCTACATGTCCAATACTTGAACTAGGTTGAAAAGGATTTAAACTAGTCTCCAATAAGATAATATCATTTTGAATTTGATCAGTAGTTAATTGTGTGTTGGGTTGTATATTAGATGAGAGCACAAATCCCATTGTGCCATGATTTTCAGCCCTATTATACATATCTTTAGCTATTGAGAATTGTGGCGATTTTGAAAATGAATTCATAAAATCTTGCTCAGTTCCTTCCGCATTAATTTGAAATTGATTTAATTGATCTGCTAAAGATGTAACTGGTTGTCCGCTTGGTAATAGTACTACAGATTTATCAAATACAAATTCAACGAATTGAGCTTGTAAAGGTCCTGAACCAGTTGAAATTTGTCCTATAATAGGTGTTAATATTTGCATATTAAGGTAATCGTTCCATGAATTTGTAAATCCTAATCCATGTGTCAGTTCATGAATCACAACGTACAATAAATCAACTTGTCTTTCTGACATAGGCGTTGGATCTCCTTCAAACCAATAATTCATATTTGAATTAAACATCGCTGTAATATCATCTGGTCCCATTTGTGGATGATTATTTGGTAAACTCAATTGTTTATATAATGATTGAGGATATAATCTTGCTCTTCCATCCGAATCTTGATATGGAATCATTCTTGATGGTCTTGCTGCCCCTAATATTATATTTTGAGTATCACAGTCTCCTTGTTCTTTACAAAAATCTAAAAATTGAGCGTTAACTTTTATTGGTGTTTTTAAATTCAATGTTGCTGTTATATATTTCCCTGCTGAAATAAATACATTTTTAACTTTACTACATAACGCACTATCGCCAATTGAACAATGAAAATCTACAATAAACATATCATCTGCATTTTGTCTTTTTTCTAAATTTGTATTTTTTTTTATCATCGGACAATCAATAAATTGAGTTTTAAAACGATATATAGGTTGTGAATATATTACACATTTTTCTGATAATGTTGTTTGTATTAAAATTATTGAAATTATCAAACCAATAAAAGAAATATTTGTTAAAGTCTTCATTTTTACCAAAATTATTTTTAAAAGAAAAAAATTTATAAATAATGATGACCTTTGAATGATTTTTCAACCATTTTATATGATTTCGACATCGATCCCGTCGATCCATGCTAAATTCATTTTTCGTACAAAAATATCATCATCATCATCATCGGTCATTACTATCTTGGCGCTGATTCAGCCATTCTTGGCAGCCACAACTTTACTATAGCTATGAATTACGTAATTTGTGATAATAATTACATATGTTCCGACAATCTATCCGAGACTAGAATTATATTTTAAAAAAAAAATTTAGCGCCAGCTCAGCCAAACTCTTAGGGAGAAAAGAAATAGAAAAAAAAAATTTTTCATAGAAAGAAAAAATATATATATATATTTTTTTTTATCTCAAAGAAATCAAAGATTTATTTTTATATTTTTCTTGGCATTCAAATGTGATCTTCAATTTGTGTGACCTATTAATATATCACCGTAAATAGAAATATGTATACTATATGATATATGAAACTTCCTTTTGATTCAGTTTTTCATTTGTAAAAAAGATGGAAATTTAAAGATATAATATGTCCGAAATCATGACTCAATACTGCTTCTTCCAAAAATAGATTTCACTAATTAAAAAATGGAATATGACGCATATATACGTGAATTACGTGATTGACAAAAAAAAAAAACGTTCCTCGGAACCTTCAAAAAAAAGTCTTGGAAATTAGGGGATCTATTACCCCTTAAAATCGCAAATCATGTGAATTGCGCCTTTGACAATTTGTGACGTCATTATATAAAGTCGATCGATTTATCCAAATAAAGATTTTTTTATTGATTTTTTTCATCTCTACCCACAATTAATTTAATTAATTTATAATCCACAGTGATAATCAAAGAAATGCACATATAACTTTAGGTGTTACGGCTATTTATAAAGGAAGACACGTTTAGGAGAGGGTCTCTTTAGTCTTCATTGATCACGTCTATACTCCATATACTAACTACTATTGCATACTATACAGGGGTTAGATTTATTTATAGGCATACATGACTTCAGATACTGTTGTTCATCAATCAAAGATTTCGTTAAATTGTTTATTTCTCTTTCCCCCTTTACTCCTTTTACTGCGCCACTACAAAATAAAGCCTGCAAAAAGTGTCATGTTTTTTTCAAATCTATGAAGAATTTCTAAATGAAAAAAAGTGTTGCCTTAAAAAGCGTTTAATTGCCGAAATAAACTTAAAATGGCTCGCTCAAAAATAAAAAACCTTGAGCTAGATAGGATAATTAACTATAATGATACGCTAATAAAGCCGTATACTGTATAACTTTTTAAATCTTCTTAATTATACAAATGTGTCTTATGAAAGTAAATGAAAAGTTGAACATGAATCTTTGTATTGAACTTACATCTTGATTTTATTTTAGAAAAAATTATGAAATTGAAATTGCTCAATTGCTCATCACATTGCATCTATCTCAGAGGGTAATGGATAAGATCCAAAAAAATGGTAATATGTAATCTATTTTAATATATATAGGGTTCAGTTTATTTCACCGACAATCCGCAGTCAACTTTACTGATAGCGAGTTCACCGAAAATCATTTTCACAGCAGGATCGTTTCACCGACCGGATTAATCATTTCACCTAAAATCATTTCACCGAATTTTATATTTAACTGTAATTTGAGGATAAGCTCTAGTAACAATAATTATTAAGAAATATTTTTTAATATTTTGACTATTTATTGTGAAAATAACATAGCCACTATTATTAACGTAAACGCAATAATATGTGTTAATTATTGTGTAAGAAACGTAAATTTTAATTCGTATTCTTATTCCGTCTTAAATTTGATGCATTAAGCATTTCAGTGTTTATATTAGTGCTTCGATCCGGATGAAAACCGTCATCCGGATCGGGGTTAAATAATCCGGATAGAAACCGAAATCTGGATTAGATTTACAACTGATCGGCAATAATTCTGGCCAGAATTTATACCGCCGGCCAGAATTACAAATTTGTGTAAAATTTTACGTGCCACCTTTGCTTAAGCCAATAAAAAATTTTTTACCGTTTTTCCGATGTCATGTGATATTAATTTCGGCCAGAATTCCAAATTTGGCCAAAATTATCTAAGACCGCGAAATTTTCATAATTCCAATTTTATTCAATACTCAATTTCATTTTATTTCAGCATTATCTCATCAGACTATTGTTTAACATTTTTTTGTAAATTAGCTAATTATGAAATTTTGAATAAACAAGATATTTTTATATACAGCTAAAATGTGTTGAATTAGTAAGTCAATTTTTAAAATGTTAAAAAATAGATTTGTTTCTTCTTTCAAAAATCAAAGAATCATTTGAATCAAATTATATAACATTAAGATTTTAATTTTTTAAAAAAGTAGTTATAATTATATAAATTTTATATATATCTCAATTTTTTGTAATTTGATCTGAATAATTTTTCATTTAAAAATAATTATTTCGTTGTAAAAAAAATAATAATAAAAATTTTTTCTTTTGAACGTTTGAATGCGAAAAATAATTCTTTGTTATTACGTTTTAAACTTCAGTTGATCAATATGTCACACTTCAAACGCTAATATATATATATAATATTAACAAAGATAAGTTGTGATGTATTTTATACACGGGGCATTTTTTCATCATACACCACACAAGTGGTTGATCCTACACACTGGTTTTCGTCTTACCTTCTATGGTTGCACTTTAATGAAAAAATATATTTACTTATTTTTTATAAATAAATCATAATCTATATAAAGTTACGGTACTATGCAAAAAAAAAAAAATAAATAAAAATCCATCTGGATTTCGGTTTAAACCGGTTATTTTTCATCCGGATTATAATTCAGATCAAAACCGCAAAATCCGAATATCCAAAAAAAAAAAAAATATATCCGGATCGAAGCACTAGTTTATATGATATAAAATTTTATATTATACAGTACATTGTTACATTGAATTACGTACTTCAAATTTTTGCATTTAGCGATTAAGGTTAATATATTGATACAAAAGATAATGAATCATTTTACTGAAAATGTTGTGTACTTAGCATTTGTCGGCGAAATAGCCCTAACAGTGATCGTTGATGTAGGTGATGGTCTAGTCGTAAAATCACTATCGGTAAGTTGATTGTCTGTGTGACAATTTTCGGTGAATAAATGCGTTCCTAATAGGGTAATATATTATATATGTACAACGGATTATGTCTTAAATATTTTTTTTTTTACATAGGTACAACAAAATGTGAATTATCCATTAATTTCATCTTATGAAGCAGCTAGTGAATGTATTTTGCTTTGGTTGAAGAATTCTCAAAATCACGAAATAAACGTTCCATCAACTCAAGATTCAATTGTTGGGTATGAAAATGATTATATTATTAATGAAGAGAGGTACATATGAAGCAGATTTGACTTATTTACATGGAATCTTGGACAAAACAACCAAAATTTCAAATCACTGGAAAAAATAACGTTAGAAATTAGAAGAACGATGACAAAAAACATGGCAAGATTTAATAATAATACAATGTATTGTGAATGATAATTAAACTCTATAATTAAAAAAAAATGTTTAAATTCTTTTATATTAAAAGTTGGAATCATAATTGCAAATTATTTGTTATAAATTCTATTGTCTTTTATTATCGAAAAATTTGCGCCGAAGTCACGTGTAACCCTGCAAATCGATCCCTTCCTGTAAAAATCGTTGCAGCAATAAAATGGAGACCGTATATTTCTTGCTTGCACCGTTGACTCTATATAATCCCAAATAAGTTTTTAGTTTGACTATAAATAATGATACCAGATCCCCTGTTAAGCGTCCTTTCTCATAAATACCAACTAACAAATGATAATCTGTTTGAACGTAGTCACGCGCATACTGGGTCCTTCGGTCGCAACGGATTACGTTATTTTAGAAATTTCAATAAATATCAGATATCATTCATATCCGGTACAATCGCAGTCAATGATGTAAAAAAATTATTGGAAATGATCAATGAACAATACCATCACGTGCGAGTATATTAATTTTATCATACAAAAGTTTACTAGATCAAAAAAAATTTTTTATAAAGTAGATTTTTTATAATGAATTAAAAAATTATTTTAAATTATATTTATTTAAGCATTAGAAATTATGATTCATGACAATTTTCTTCGTCGCTTAAAAAATTTACTTCTAATCTAGTTTCTAATGGAGTAAGAGGAATATTTGAAGATATGTTTTCTTCTGGCATTAGATAAACTTTAAAATTTATGAATAGTTTGTGAAAGTTTATTTGATATTCCATGTCAAAAGTTTATTTCAAGCCTAAAAGTCTCGTTTAATTAAGTCTAAAAGTTATAGTATCGAAGCTATGTCAAAGTCATTTACGAAGTCATGTGACCATGTGCCGTTGCTGACGTGACGTTTAAACAAAAAAAATTGAGAGAAGTCTGCACCCTGCGTACGCGAAATTTTCAAAAAAATCTTTAAAAACAAATGCTCTATTTACTGTATATAACATCTAATGATTTTCATGAAAATTCAGCTGTTATTTATTTTGTAATAAATTATTTATTCTTTGGAATTACACCAAATAACACTTAACTAAGGTGATTATAATGGTATTAGAATAAAAATTATTATTAATAAAAAATTAAGAAAGTCACATAAAGTCATCTCACCTTCTCAGATTTTTTAAACAATAAAATTTACCTAAATTAAAACCAAAAATAAACAAATATGAAATTTCTCATACTTCACTGCGTGTTAATAAAATTTTAGAAAACAAAAAAAAAAAAGTTTTTATTTATTTAATATGCAAACTACATTACTACAAACAACATGAATCGAAAATTTTAGGTTATAATTCTCGCATAATATAAAAGAAAAATAATTTTTTAAAAAAAGTTATTGAATATTGAGTTTAAAATTGATGAGCAGTGTACGCGGAATTTTTCGGGCTTGCTGGCGTATTACATATTAAAAATCATTACTGCGCAACCGAGCACTATAAATGGTAACATT